CGGTTCCAGGCCTCCATCCTTTGTAGGTCTTCCTTTTAAGACGCAGGACATCTGCCAGTTCCCATGACAAGCACTTCCTTAAATCCAGGCCCACTAGAGGTGTCATCTCCATGACAGACCCTCACACTTACAAAGTAAAAGCTGCACAAGTAAGATGATAAAAGAGCTCAAACCACCCAGTTACTTCAAACCCACCAGGCACATGTATACATGGTCATTTAATGCAGAGTAACCTAATTTAAGATGCATTAGGGGCATGCCTACACATGCGCACCCTTAATGTGGCTTAAAAATGGTGATTTTAGGCTATGTAAGCCTAAATTTGACATCTGCCCAAATCAAGTATCACATTTAAGCAGGATTAGTTTATGTGGATTAATATACGTGTAGACATGTTACTCCACATTAATGCAGGGAATTTAGTCCTGGGTCTGCCTAGCCACTAGGGGGCCAGCCACCAGAGCCCAGCCCCAGGGCTCCTGGCTGGGCATCTCTTCTCCCCCAGGGCTGGGCTGCTCCATATACAGTTTGCCACTTGTAAGCGTGTTTTTTTATTGTTGGTGGGTGGGGAGGGTGGTGGATGTTGTGAAAGTAATAAAGTTTTTTTTTTCAACCATATGCGTGTCCTGAGACTGGTGCTAGGGGTGGGCAGGGGGTAGCGGGTGTCTGGGCAGCGGGGGAGGAGGGGGTCAGCCAAGGCCTCCTACTGCTGATGCCTTAGCCACTGCTGGCAGGTGTGCAGCTCTCCTGGGGCCAGGGCAATGGGGTGCCTGCTGGGGTCAGCACCATGGCCAGAAGGAGCACTGGTCATTGGCTGCTGCTGGCAGGGGCAGCCCCAGCACAGGGAGGCAGAGTGGGTAAGGAGGGAGCTGATGTGTGTTGCCCATGCTGGGCACGGGGCTGGCCAAAGATCAGAGGGTGGGGGGGGTGTTTCTAAGATGGCTGCCAAATGCTGGCATCTGGCTCTGGCTTCAGCATGGCTGCCAAGTACTGGCAGCTATGTGGCCAGAGCAGGGGTGGGCAAAATGTGGCCAACGGGCTGAATACAGCCAGCCAGGCCATTCTATCTGGCCCACAGGACCCCTAAAAAATGTAGAAAATTAATATTAATCTGCCCCTGGCTGCCTGTCATGTGGCCCTCGATGGCTTGCCAAAACTCAGTAAGCGGTCCTCCGCCCAAAATTATTGCCCACCCTGGTCCAGAGGCTGGAGCTCCCGCCCAGGGGCCACAAAGGCACATGGCAGGGCTGAAGCAACCTGGGACTAAAGTTAGTCCCAAGTCCCACCACATGTAGATACCTACCAAAACCTGCTTAATTTGTATTAGTTTAATGTGCATTAAATTTTAACCCACTTAAATTAATGTGTAGATAAACCCAATGTCTGTGCCTTTCCACAACATGCAGAACTGCCTTGCTAAAAATGCTTTTAATGCAGAAACCACTCTGCTTAGAAGAGGTTGCTCCAATACACAGAATAGAGCAAGCCACGTTATGGACAAAAATCAGTGTCATGGTCTAAGTATGCCAAGTTCTAGGGGTGGGCCCACATTGTAGAAACACTTATGCCTTCTGCATTGTTGCTAGGAGCTCCTCAGCACTGTCCCTCCTACTACCCTAGAGACAGAAATTGTAATATGGCCATCATGTACCATGGCTGAAATATGACCGAGTCTTACAATATATGCAGGATAAGCCATATGCCAACAGGATAATTCAAGACAGAGGAAGGGCACCTAAATTAGCATATAGATGATGTCAACACAGACCTTTCTGGGATTTCAAAGCAAGAACTCTTGAGTTTGTATATGTAGGTATGGTCTGACTTCTGGCCACTGATTCTTTACGCCTTTACATCCAACTCTACTGCCAGGCTACGAGCAAGGGAATTCAATCACAGGATCAGTCCTGGCTGCTGTGTTGACTTGATGCTAAGCTAGGACATCATTAAGGGTATTTGCTTGTCAAGGTGAAAGAGCTATCTACCTTAAGAAACTGCACAAACCACATTGCTTTTCTTACTCCTGTGGGGAAGCCTTCCCCCACAGCAACCCAGAGAAACTGCTGTGTTCACACCTGGCAGCAGGAGGCAGAGTAAAAGTCACATTAACATAGA